GCTAGCCTCCCCCAGATTCAGAACCTTCGGTGGTTGGCCTTTTGAACGCCTTGTTTCCCACCACAAACGCCTAGGTGGTCAAGCCCAAAATTTCGTGCTGGTAGGGCAAAGACGGCTCGAATTCTCCGGCTCAGCCACAGTGTTCTCTCCGTTTTGAGAACGGCAACTATTTGCTCAATCAAAGTTTGCATAGAAGAAAACAGGTTTTGGAGCCGAGATAAATAGCAACAATGACGCGTGTGGTTGGACAAGTCAATTTGTTTCTTATCTCTGGCGTGAAGCGCTCTAGTGAGCGAATATGGCAATAAAGCCGATCGTCGGAACGTCCAGTATCCGAATGGAAAGACCTGTTCACCGCAGATGTGTGTCACAGTTGAGGAAGACAGCCGAAATCGTGATTGTTCGCAAAACCGTAAGGTATGGTGGGCCTGCAGATTTCAATCAGATATAGCATTGAGGGTTTCTCAACCAGACATTGATGTACGTACACGTAAAGAAAATACTCCCCATAGCACGCCAATATGCATCGAAAGTTAGTTAGCCCTAGCATAAAGGCACCAGGATCCTCAAGACCAGGCTCGAGGGCCTCGGCCGACTTTCTTCATCAGCAGCAACATGTAATATGGCCGGTATTGCGCAGATACAGAACGGGCCCTTGTGCAGCGCTTGCGTCCGTAGCGCGGTAAGGCTTGTCCACACAATTTGGAAAGCATGTTGAAATGCAGTCAGGCGCGCAAGGGGTCATTTGCAACCAACACTGTGTGGGAGGAGTTGCATGGTAATGCGCATAGAGCGTGTGTGAGAAAACGGGTTCCCATGTATGTTGCGGGTTTGCAGACATTGTTCATCAAGAGAAGCAAATGAGAAGAAGCTGTAGTCCGAAACGTCCTAGCTCAAGATTGGATGGAGTTAGGGTGCTTGGTAATGACCTGCTCCTTCCATCCTGGTCATTTGAGCCCAGGCTGCATAGTCATTGAAAATGTTAACATCCGTGAAGACGTCACGCCTTCCCTTTACACTCTTAAGACGAAGCCGTGTAGCATCAACCTTCACAACATGAAGCACATCACCGTCTCGCTACTCCTATGTTGGAAGGCCGTTCCATACATGACATGGCCCTGTTCAACAAAGGTGTCATTCTGAGCGCAACCTGTAGTTCCAACCTCTCGCAAATGGAGCCCTGAATAACTCTTACACAACAGGTCCTATGGTCGAATATCGAAATACTTGGCCTCCAGAGCGGATGGGTGCGAGAAAATGCGGCCATTTCGCCCAACCGCGGTCGTCAGTCTCACAATCTTCTCCGTGGAAGAGAAAATGTGTCGGCCGTTGAAGTCTAAGCCCAGCCCGCATACGGAATAATTACCCTTAGGCCTTGGTTCGTTGAAGCTCCCCAGCTTAGGGTTGGGTGGGCGCAAATGACAAAAACATGGTCCACCGATACCAAATCCAAAAGGACAATCGAATCCACTTATTGTCTCACTCACTGGTCGTTGTTTTTTGGAGCTGCCACCGAATTCCCGGAGCGAAACCCCGTAGCATGGTGTTCAGGATGCATGACTTTGTTGCAGTGGTCTCCGAATGACTCTGGAGAGGGAAGCCCAGGAGTCTAGCGTTTGTACACATTGCACTCTGTGATGGCCCCCTCTGCGCTGATCTAAGAAGCTTAGCAATGATGAGATAAGTTGATGAGTCAGACAACAGCTACGCAGCATCTTTGCGTACAGTGAAGAATGCATGTGTATTTCGCAACCAGCTAGATACGCGAGGGGCACAACAGCTGCTCAATTCTCATGGCGCTCCCACGAGCACACAATACCATACTCCGGTGGCCTCATATTTGTGCGCTTACATTATTAGCTAATTACTCCGTACTCCGTACATGGTACCTTTAATTGGGACCCTCAGCGCACATACATATGCTCTATCGACTCCTCCACAGGAAAGGCTATGGCCAGGGGCTAACAGGTAGAGTTGCAGTGGCTGGATGCAATTTGATGTGGGCAACATCGGAAACCTACCACTGTAGTATTGTACAACCGCAAATAATGTCAGTCAAGCAGGTAGCATCTCCGAATTAGCATCAACAGCGCGTTGCCGTTTGACAGAAACGGCTACCGAAACAAGCAGCAGCCACCGGCACCAAGACTTGCGGAACTACCGGGGAATCCTTTATACACAGACAACCGTTACGCCTTACATGGTCAAAGTCCTAAAGCTCCGATGCGCTTCGCGGACGTCTCATCCAGTGGAGATCTTCAGACACTAGGTCTACATGTTGCCGTCACTAGTCTTGTCACAAAGTGCGGGCAGTAACACAGATCCGACAGCACGAAGCCCGACATTCAACGAGTCAACTTCGCCACCGTTACCAACAACACCAAAAAGCAAGCCGACGACTAGAAGCAACACTCTCTCTAGTCATGCTTGGGTTCTGTAGCCGGTAGTACTACCACGCTTTGACCGGCATTTACGACTTGCGCTGCTGACCGAAGCCAAGTCGGCCGATCTCAGCCCGAGAGGCAAATTGCCTGCCACCCTGGGTAGGCAAGCCATTGATTCTCAAAGTCGCGGTCAGAAAAGCCATTCATTCCCGAAGCAGAGTGTTCGCGCTTCTCGGTCAGCGCCTTGTGATAGATCACCTGGAATATGGCAATATCTCAGCCTCAAAGCACATGGCGTGCCTGTCAAACTGTAGCTGTGCTACCGGGGACTGAGAGCGATCTTCGCGGCCTAATCTTCCATCGTCTTGCCCGTCAGCCTGTGTCGCCCGTAACGGGCTTGTCAGACATACATGCATTCGCCATCACCGTCTCCTGCAAATCTCATAAAGCCGGCGCTTGCCCGACGGAAATTGCCCCAGGGTCCAATTGGTCGCCTTTCCATGCTGTCCAGAGCGCTTCGGATTTATCTGTCAAGAACCCTTCTGCTGTAACTACCGGCGGCGTGGCTGATGAAACGTCTATTCTGCAAAGTAGAGTTTCATTGGCCTGTCTAACAACCGCATCCGCCGATCGTAATGCACCATCGGGAGAGGGAAGCCCCGACAAAAGCTCAAAGCGTTGCCATCATGGCAAATCCAGCCAAACCAGCTAGCCCCGAGCAGACTTGAAGTTGGACTTTAACCGTTCTCGAACAATTCTACCGGCACTTGGAAGACGCTAAAACCTGTGCGAATAGTATTAAAATATTGTCCAAGGCGCCAGCTGCTTTGCGTCCTAACAACGGATGGTTGGGACGTAACGAGCCATGGAAAATTATTTGCCTTGCCACTCAACACTCCTGTCGAATCACCAAGTTTCACGACTCTCTTTTCTGTTTTTCTTTTGTTTCCCTGTTGTTGGTGGTGGTGGTGGTGGATGGCACTTTTCACAATTATTCCATCGCTGGCTTTTGGAAGAAGAATTCCGTGCAAAGACGGCAGTGTTAAGTGACTTAGATGGAAGGCTCTTTCTAACGGGAACGCATCTCTTCTCACATGGATCTCACATGACAAGAAGTCGTCAATCAACCGTAGCATCCACCGCGGCGTGATACGCCCTTCCCTTAGATTAGTTGCCCGATTCCTCCTTCGCAAACCTACACAAGAATAGCCAATCGCCGGATGCCCTCCCTGGTTGTTGATACTACCGACTTATCAGACTTATCAGCTTCGTACATGATACTGCGTGTTTTTGTCGCCATCAAGTCCGTCACACTCGGTGCTACATATTCCCCCAAAAGAAAAGTCTTGGCGATGTATATTGGCTCGAAGGATTCAAATCTTATCTTGCATCAGTCTCACCGCATGTGTGAGATGACAAGTGAGACCCACGCGGGTGATCTGACAATAACGGCCGGTCCTTTTTTCGGCTCCTTTGCCACCGGTTTCAGGTATTTTGCTAGCTGTTAATAACGTGTTTTTTAATGGTATCAGGCTTCGTAGATGGCGGTTCATCTGTGGGGTCGAAGCGCGGACTTCACCGCGACATGACGTATCATGTGGGTGGGTAGCGGGTACCTGGGCAGTGGGAAGTGGACTGTGATCCCTCCCAAGCCTTCATATGAGTGACGTAAATGTATAATTGACAGGCGAGAGGGATCCGGCATGCAAGGGTTGGCGGTGATATTGCTTGACTGTGGGCCGGGAGGTTATTATGGGGGGAATGCCGCTCCATTACAAGGTGGATGGATGGCTGCTCTATTATCGCTGCTCTTGTAAGATGGGCTTGAGAGGATGAAGTTGGGATTTTTTGGATTTTTTTTTTTTCGGAGGGGGGGGGGGTATAACGTGCGGTAAGCAGTTGGGAGCAATCCGGCATGCAAGGGTTGGCGGTGATATTGCTTGACTGTGGGCCGGGAGGTTATTATGGGGGGAATGCCGCTCCATTACAAGGTGGATGGATGGCTGCTCTATTATCGCTGCTCTTGTAAGATGGGCTTGAGAGGATGAAGTTGGGATTTTTTGGATTTTTTTTTTTTCGGGGGGGGGGGGGATATAACGTGCGGTACGCAGTTGGGAGCAAACTGTTCGGTGGAATAATGTACCGACATGTCGCGCCGTAAAACTGCAAGATGCGGTATTCTAGAGCACACTCGAAATGGACATGCACATGAGGCGTAACGTAAGGAGGGCACCTTAGCATTAGATGATACGAATCTCTGTATTATTGATACAAAGCCCAATGATACAAAGCCTCGATTATAAGCTACTCCGTACAAAAGAGAGAATTGTGTGCGCCCCCTGGTTAAAGGGGCGCTCGGCTCCACGCATCGCTGTGCGCATCATCTAAATTCCGTGCGCGTTGCGGAGTACATGGGCTGATACCAATACAGCTGGTAAGCTGTTGTGCTGTGCGACAGCACTCGAAGATGGAGGCAGGCCTCTGCTGTTTTTGAATTCAAAATGATGTTTGAGGGCAGCAAGTGGCCAGGAGAGAAAGTCCATGTCTATGAATGTCTACTTCAGAAGCAATGTAATTTGAAATTTCACAAACGTTACAATCCATGAGCGACAGCCATCACGGCCAAAGCTCGGTTTCCTTCCACTCTGCCCCCTGCCCAGCACGTTCCAGTCTGTAATTCCATCGCTGGCCCCTCTCCGGATTCGACAGATCAACCCTGTCCACCTCTTCAGGAACAATCACCACCACTCTAAAGTTCTTCCTTGCAACGTCATCCTCCAGATCCTCAACAACTTGTCCCAGGCCGAGCCCCTCCCCAGGCTCCTGCGTGATGGGGGTGCCAGGAGGCGGGTTTCGGAACGTGCCTCTCATGAAGGGGCTCAGGTTTCCAAACTGAGCAGTTAGTTCGCGGCTCCAACTCCACTCAGCATCTCCGACTTTCCGCATATACGGCCTAAGAGCTTCCCTCGTAGACGACGCTTCGAGCGAGTCGATATCAGGGCCAACCAGGCAAGTGTAGCCTCTGAGGCGCCATTGAGTCATGGAGTCTGGAAACCAGAATACGGCTTCAACGGCACCGCCAATGCCGGATGAGTCGCCGCCATTTGTTGATGTCGATAATATTTCAGAAACCTTTTCCATGCGAGCGTCTGTGGTGATGGTTGGGAGATCGGTCTCGTACGAGGCAGGATTGAGTTGAGCTGGGTTCTTGGGATTTGGGGTCAGCGAGGCCCACATGCCTCTATATACGACTGTACGTGCTCTAGGAACGAACTGGGGTGCCCAGGATGGTGATGGCGGCGATGCTGGATGGAGAGAGCTCAGTGTGAAGGTTGGCTGTTGCACCTGTTCAATGTGAGACAGGAAGGCATCTCGCCAGGGAGCCGCCGGCACCGTGTTTCCGCCAGCCATTTTACGCTGCAGTTGTTGGCCTAGGCGTTGTAATCTTCCTACTGCCGGCCTCATGGATGGGTGTTGAGGTTGGAGCAGCGCCATCAGGTTGTCGACGCCGGCGATTTTATTCTGTTGATGCCTGGCAAAAGTGACCCAAAAAGTGACCCACTAGTGTGAGTTGATGATTCATTCATTTTATTGTACCTGCAGAATTCGGCGTTGTGCTACTCTGTGCCAATTAGTCAAGTACACAACGACACACGTGGCCAACAGAACGCTTCTCGGAGTGTGGGAGTTAGTCATGTCGTCTCTCGCCATGTAGAGGGCTGCGAGTTCTTTTTCTGCAGGATTCGACTTGAAAATCAGCATCGTCACTATGCCTGCAGACCACCCCTGTTGGTTCAGTGCTACCCTGAACCTGGACCCGCAAAGCAACCGTCGCCAACTAGTACTTTGTCCACATGAAATATGTCTAAAAACGGGGGAGCCAAGACAAGAGGTAATTCCATTAGCCAGTAGGCACATTTATTTTAATGATATGCTGGTGGCAATTAAGCATAAAATCGGACGATTTTCCGAAACGGCGACTGCCGTTCTCCCCGCAGTTTGAGGCCGCCCATATTGCCAAGACAAAAACGGCCCCATTTACTGCCATTTCAAACGTGCTCGTCTAAATTTGGAAATGGAACGGAGGCTTAAAGCACCCGAACAGCGGCGGGTCTAGAGAACCAGAGAGCTCCATAGTTTTACTTGCATCAACAGCACTATACGGGTTTGTCCGAGTCAGATCGAAACGCTGCATGCGGCATCGAGGTCAATGCCGAGCGGCTTGAAGGAGACTGCCATGTGGTAATGCGGCGGCGTCACAAGCGGCGTCTAGCCTATGCCAAGATATTTTTAAAGTTCTTAGGGCTTCCACCGGCTATCGCTACTACTACAATGGTGACATTTCAAGTGGAATCGGGTAAGCAGATTCCCGGCATGAAGAAGTGGAAATTTAGTGTTTCACCGAGGCGGCGGACTGGGGATACCACGGCGATATTGGAATGAGATTGGTGGTCAGCCAAGAAGACAACTGTCCATCTTTGCATCTTTCCCGTGGGCACCGACTCAAGATTCGGCACTACTAAGCCGCCTGTGGGACAAGGAGTTTTTTGTGAGCGAAGACTGGTTCGTGGCAGGTTGCTCCCTCGCCTCATTTTTGGTTTGTACTTTGAAAGACATGTCCGCCTGGCGGTAATAGTGCGAGAAAGAACCAAAGCAAGAAGAAAAAAGGGGAAAAAAAAATTGTAAAATGAGTGTAACCACCAACATGGCCACATACCAACCTCCAGGGAGAGGACAAGGCATCGACATAAATTTGGCCGGTATAGCCCTGTGGGTGCGACAAAAACGTGCCCTGCGCCCTGCTCGGGTGCGCGCCACCTTGCCAGCGGAGAGACATGACGGCATCTCTGCAAATAGCAAGCCCAGATGGCACGTTGGTGGTGGACTAATTTCGTTCCTTTCGGTTGATTGACACCATGGTTGACCACCTTGTCAAGCTAACCACGGCTGATGATGGGCCTTGCCGGGGTCACGATGGCCATCGCCTGTTGAGAAAAAGAGAGATGAATGGGGCCAACGGTCAAGTTTGGCAGGGTGCTCTGCGCCGTCACAGGCCTGGCATTGGACCATCAAATGGGAAGCGTTTATGATATAGGCCTCATTATTGTACAATAGCTTGATCGACTGAGCCGAGGGTACTCCGTATCATGGGCGCCAAGCTGAACTCCGTTGCCGCTAGAGAAGTAAGGTCAGCGGAAATCTCCGGCATTATGGCAATTAGCCCTGGAGAGCTCGTACGGCAACAAGGTGTTCTGCTCGAAGTCTGGAGCACCAGTAACCCATAGGGATGGTACTCCGTAGGCTGTGTCTTATGTATTGAGTGCTTGCCGGACGGCCGTGGTTTTGGATGGCGGACGGAAGCTTGAAGCCGCCGGCGGTCCAGATCAAGCGTTGATGGCAGTAGTAGATGGTGTTGGGTGTTGGGTGACTCGCTTGCGTGTCTACTTGCCTATCCTTTCGGACCTTACCTGCCCTAACGAAGCCAGCTAGGGTTGGCTGGGCTATCTCTGCCGACGTTCCAGGCCCAGCCAGTGGCAGGTGCGGGGGGGTGGACCAGGTTTGACACCTTCCATAATTTTGCCCAGAATCAAACACTTGGAAGGAGCAAGCCAACAGGCGTCGAGAAGTCGGCAGAAGACCAGCAGGCCCGTCCCCCTCCCCCTCCACCACGCCAGACTCCATAATACTTAGTACGGAGTTCCCGCCTCCAGCCAAGCACTCCGTACTCCGTATTCCGTGCATGCGCAGATAGATGCCCTACTACTAAAAGTCGCCAGTGTGACCCAACGCAGGAGCGGTCCTGCATTGTCCCGACTCATTGGCGCGAACTGCTCAAGTACCAGGTACCGAGTACATGCTGGCAAGTACTCCGTGCTCCGTGCTCCGTGCCTCTGAGCTCTGGGCTCTGGACTCCGTGCCAAGCCAGCGCTGTCGAATGGGTCAATTGCTCAACTGCTCAACTGCTCAAGTGGTCGATCAGTCCATCCTGAGTTCTCAGTCCAGTCGTGGATGGCGCAGGCGCCTCGACTTTATTGCCAAAGTCTTGCCATGCCGACGCTCAGAGTGTCTTATTCCCATCTAGATTCATTATTCTGCCCCCTCCCTCCGAAAGGTCCAAAGGTCGATTCGGGTCCTGGCGCTTCCGCTCGCTGAGCAGCCTCGCAATTAATTCCCTTTGCATTCCCAAGCTGCCGCCCCCCGTTCGTCGCTCCGTTATTCCCTGCGACCCAGGCCGTTGAACCATTATTCCCGGCTCTTTGGCCTTGTTGGATCGCACCCCGAGCAAAGCTCTCAGCGCGCACCGCATAGCAACCTTGTTCAACATCATCGGCAGCTCTGTAAGTCGACAGATGGATATTTCGCGCCTGCAACACTCGTTGCAACGTCCTCCCATTGCCCATGGAAGGGACGTGGGTGCAGCGTCGTCCTTGGCCCTCAAACCGCATCTCGACTCTCCCACCGGCTTGCCCTCTCCGAATTCACTAGGCCACGGCCAGACTCTGACCTATCCTCGCCATCCTCGCCATCCTGCTCCTCATGGTCATCACCACAATCATGGCCAACCTCACGCCCATGCTCATGCGCATGCTCACGCTCATGCTCACGCTCACGCTCACGTTCATGCCCACAGCCAGAGCCACAGTCACAGTCATAGCAACAGCCATGGTCATGATGAGAGTGTCGACTATCGGGAATTGAGCGACGAGAGATCCCCCGTCAATGGCGAAGAGCCTCCAAAGAAGAAACAGAAACGCAACAAGCCGACCTTGTCATGCCATGAGTGTGTTGAGCGAAAGACAAAGGTTCGTTCAACCCCTCTCCAAAACAGTCTTTTTAGATGAGAGAGTTTCGTAGTCTTGTCCATTCGCTCGATATTCAAGTCGAATTTTCATCTTCATCGCCCAGAATCTGCCCCCCAAAGTCTTCAACTTCTTTTTTGTTTTCCATGCCATCTTCTGCACTGGGCTATGCGAGATTTGTCACTTGGTGGACAGCACATCTGCAGCGTTGTACAACATTCTCTTTAACCTCAACCTCGCCTCTTGATCTGTGTGACGCTATACAATCAGTGGGTGTGAACTTGTTCCCAAGGCAGGCCACTCATTTCGATGGGACATGGCTTGGAAGTTCAACTCCTCTAGCGCATAGTATTTATCTCGTTGCACTGTTTTGGCCGCCTTTTGGAGCCAAGTAGCTAATACTTCTCCTACAGTGTGATCGTGGACGACCTCATTGTCTTGCTTGTAAGTCTGGGCAATTAAGAAAGCGACATAAACTGTGCAAAGGCCATGACTAATGACGACACAAGGCATAAAGAGACAGACGGAATGTCGATATGCACACGTCGCAAACCTATTGGAGTGAGCTATAGACGCCCAACCCCCTTTCACACGGGAAAACTAATCTCCTGCAGGGAAACATCGAGATCGGCTGCCAATGGACGCCGTATGACAAGGCCGCCAAAGAAGAAGAATACTCCCGATGGGCCTGCTATGATTCCCAATATTGCCGACAGAGGCGCGATCAACGACCACCAAGGTTCGTCTCGTGGCGCGGCGGCTCTCTCCATAGGCTTGCTATCCCATGTTCCTTATTCCGTTACCAAGGCCAGCAATGTCTTTGGCATCGGGTCTGAGCATCCATTTGCCAACTACTGGACGTGCGAAGGAGGACTACCAGAAGTTGTCTCTGTTCTACCTGACAAAGTTCAAGCCGATACTCTTGTTGCTCGGTACTTCGAATGCGTGGATCCTGTGTACCCCATGATTCACCGTCAAACTTTTTATGCCGACTACGAGCACTTCTGGCGCATGAGTACCGACGAGCGAAATAAAATGGATCCATCTTTCATTGCCTTGATCTTTGTTATTCTGGCGCTCGGTACGCAATTCGTCTCGTCTACGACACCGAAAGATCGCAAACAGACTGCCGAGTTTTACGCATCCGCCTCGAACCAAGCTCTCCGCATGTTTTCGTACCTGAGCTCTGCATCAATACGGTCTATACAGGCCATGGTGCTTATAACTTACTTTCTCATCAATGATAATCACGCGTCTGATGGCTGGGCCTTTGCTGGCATCTTGATTAGACAAGCATACGCCATGGGTTTGCATCGTGATCCAAATATCGGTAAGATGATCTCGTTTAATTCCATTTCCCCTCCACTTTGGCATCACTTATTGGAGAAAAAAAAACTTGAGATTAATGTGGGTTGTTCTCTGTACAGTAACACCCAATGCCAATCCTTTCGAAAAACAGCAGCGGCGAAAAGTGTGGCAGGCCGTTCTTTTGCAGGACACATTCTTGACTGTCCTCTTATCCTTGCCGCCTTCAGCCACCCACACAGATGTTTCTGTCGACGATTTGCTGGACGACAGTTCATCTATTGCGAGCAGCGATCCGACGGACACGGCCTATATCAGGGGATCGTGGATGCTGGCCAATCTGGTCCAGGAGACCATTTGTTCCCCCCGGTCATTGGATGTCCCTATCTGTACGACAGTGCGGCATAAGTCTAAACTAGTGGCGGATTTTCGGGCAGTGTATCGGTCATTTCCCGACATTTTTCGATCCTGGGACACGGATAGTCTGACTGCGGTGTCAAGTACTAACAAGCGCATTGTGCGACAAACCTTATTCTTGACCAGCAACTACTTCCATAACCTGATGCTTGTGCATGCATCAGAAAGCCCAGACGTGCCAGTCAACGTTCGAGGGACTCTGGAAGCAGCCCACGATGCTATTACTGCTTTCTTCTTGATGTTTAGTCTACTAGAATCAGAAGCCCGAGTATGGTGGGTTTTTAATCATCGAGCATTCTTGGAAGCACTCTGCATTGCCAATGTGTTACGAGAAACAGCGAAAGATGCAGCGGGGAAGGAAATGCTAGCCAGGGATCCTCTATTTGTGAGAGCCAGAGCTGATATCAGTAAGTGAGAACCGCAAGCGAGGCTGCATTAGACATTGTGAAAGACGGCTAACGGGGCTATGCAGCGCGAATGATTCAAATTATGGAGCTCATTGGCTCGAATAACGATGTTGCCAGAACGCGAGTGCAGATCTTGAGCGAGTTTCTGGAGGACACAGACACGGCATAGTTTTCTTGGACATACTTGGCTGTGTATTGACACTTGTTTTGATTTATTTATCGCGAATATATGTGTGATTTGGACTTGGTAATAGCCAAGAAGATGTACTATTGGATATAGTAGGGATTATCATACAAGGAATGGTACTGGCAACACCCGGCATGTGTTCGGGACGTATTTTTTTTTGGATATCCTATTGGACAGCAGTGAAAACATGAAAAGCTGGCACAAACGACGTGTGTTTGTGACAGTCTTTGAAACAAGATTTTGATGACCAAGCTCTGAGAGCAAATAAGTTACCTGTTCAATCAATACAGACAGATCCTTCAGCCTGCGGAAAAAGGCATGGACGTGAGATTATGGTTTGAGGACATGCTACATACATACATAAGCTTGCTCGGAGGGCGACCGAGGTGTGGGTGACGCCCGGGCATGGGGCCGAAATAACCCATGTTCTTCTATGGAAAACAATTGTCCTGTGTGCTAATCCTTGGAGTAGAAACTGACAGTTACGGCAGGCGTTGAAAAGTAACCATTTTTGATCATGCCTCGCACTTCAAGAGAACGGGGACGGTGTGTGAAGGGACAAGCTAGCTCAAACGACCGTGATGCTAGTTATATGCCGGTAGCTTTCGGATGTGTAGACCTGGACGAGCAATAAAACAAGCATTGCAAGGATGCCCGTGGGCAGACCTAACCGCAACTGAAGACGTGGCTGGACAAGGGACTCGTCAGCGCATCGATACCTATTGGCCAGGCGAGGACGGGACGCGAGGACGGGGGGAACGTTGGGGATGATCTACTCCACACACAGAAGCGCCCGCCAGATTTGGCAAAGGCGAGTTCTCGGGGGAGAATGATGCAATATACATACAAGAGGGGAGAAAAGGGACCAGAAAGTGAGGTCAGCGTCGGACTCGTGAAGCTCTTTTCGGCTGAGGAGCTTTTCGTTTCGCCGACTTGCGTTATCCTCGATTGATCATTACAAAAAAGGTCGGTGCCACTCAGGCTCTTGTAGTAGTTATTATGGTAGACGCAGCTGGGACCACCCTTGTCATCCGACTTACATACATACACGGTACATATGGGTTGACAAACAACGTGGCCTGCCACATGCCACCCCCCGGAGCGGCAACCTTTTTTCTTTACGCTCCCTCGTTTCATCCGACTCCCCGGCATTCTGCTCTTTGTCTCCCAAGTGTTGGATCCTGGAGAAAAGACGGGCCACGCGTTCAATTGTCAAGAGATTCGAAAGCTTGGCAGTTTGCTTCGATTGCCACTAAAGAGGCAAAACAGTCGACACCCGAGTTGTCGACCAGGCCAATCTCACTGGCACGTCAGGTAAAGCATCACTTGGACCATGAGAAGCGGGTGGCTATATGCGACGTTGTCCACCGTACTGGTTGTCGTGCCTGCTTTGGCGACGTCAATGCCACGAGTTCCCAATGGTATGTGGAAACGGCTGCCTGTTGACGGCACCGAGTCAAATACTTCAGCCAAGATAGGCCGTCCCGAGGTACATGCTAACGGGGGCGTTGGGCGATATAGATGCCTCGACGGCCTTTGTGACACTAAACATTCCAAAGAATAGGGGAGAAGCAGAACCTCTCGTAAGCTCTTATCGGACTTGTACTCTCCTCACACCTGTCTAATACAAGTGCAGACACTGCGTCTTGACGTTGGAGAGTCCGAAGCGGCCTGTGGACGGGCAAACCTCACCGTCAATGGCCAAGAACTCGTCCAAGATGGCAACGGCAACGGCCAAGGAACCCTCGCCGCTCACCACGGCGGCAATTTTACTGCCGACTGGGCCTTTAGCTGCGACGCCAGGTCTCCACAGATGCTTTTCAAAATGCAGGTGACGCAGCTAGACGACTTGGAGATAGCGCCCTTCAACTTCTCTGCATCGTTCACACAAATCGTCCCTCGACAAATACGGATCATGGATGGAGCAGCCGTAGTGAACCGCGTCTATAGATTGCCCCAGGAAACCACCTTGCAGAAGGAACTCGCAGAAACAACACTTCAAGACCAAATCCACGTCCTGGATATTCTGCGCATCAAAGCGCGCCAACTAGAAAACGCAATTCTGGCGCAAGAAAATAAAATTGCTCAGAAACTCGGCCAGAAGAAGCATTCCCCATCGGCAAACATTCAAGACTGCACCAGCTTGGATTGTATTTTGGAGGCATTGGGCGGTAAATTTAGAGATGTGACCGAACAATTCAGCGGGAACGTGGAAGAGCTAAAGGTTTTCATTACTCATTCTGGAGATGGCTCGCTGCCGGTTCCTGCGGATGATTATGAGTATTGGTATGGCGAGGGGGAAGAACTGGATGATCATCGTCCCGAAACATATGATCTAAAGGACCACAAAGGCAAGTGGACTTGGGTCGACCAGCTCCCTCTTGTTGAGAGCGAAATAGACGGCCTGTCCATCGAATACGTACGCCCTCGACGCCAACCACCTGTAGGTTCCTCCCCCTTTCGCGCTACTCATATCGACGGAAACTGACAAATGCAGCTCGCCATGGCCATCGCACTATCAGTAATAGCACTCTGCCTCCTATCCATGGTCTTCATACTCCGCCGCCACCGCCGCACAAGCGGCCTCCCCTTCGCCATTGACAACGAAAAAGTCCTCTTTTCCGAACGTCCACGGCGCAACTCCAAAAGCGAGTGGTGGGCTGAGCGTCGTGCGCGGCGAAAAGCTCGCAAGCACGCTATCAGGGAATATGTCCGGAACATATTCATGCGATGGTGTCATAAGACGGCATCTTCTCCTTCGCCTGTTTACGAAGAATCGACCAGCATAGAGGAGGAGCTCGCATCGTTCAGGGAGGCGGTGAGTGTTGTGGACAGTCTTGTAGCGGTCGAGGAGGGCAGAAATCGAGAAGTTCCGAGATATGCGGATGTGCAGGGCTCTGTAGCGGGTTGTGAAGCGTTTGCAGATGATGAGAGTTTACCGCCATACGAGAGTGAGGATGATTCGACGCCGGTGGTGGATGGGTTTCAGTACGTGGAGTCTACGGGGGATCAAAGGCTGGGGTATGGAAAGTAATTCTATCTGCAATTTGCATTTTCATCATAAGGACTCTTTGAAGGAATAGTAGTGAGATTAGGCGTTTGGATATTCGGGAATTGCTTTCGTTGCCTGGGTATGCATACATCTTGTAACTTGTACAGTTTGTGTTCTGGCATAGGTTACTGGGTACTTGATTCTCCGTCGCACAATATTGTTCTAGGGCAGTTGGTATCACCAACGGCTTGTAATTGTAGAACGCTTAATTTTAACAACATCACAATACAAGTCTCGAACATACGCAAAACATGTCGATTCTGGATCTTGTTTTCGATCCTTGAACGCCCGCTACGTCAAACGCCTGCTGCTTATGCTATTGTGTGTGCATGCCATGTCCCTTTGCAGCATATCCATCATGACTCCTTATCGAATATGAAGGCTTCCAAATTCTTAGCGACCCTTAATATACCATCGTCCAATGTCCACCCTTTTATCTCACAAACACTTCGATACATGTCCTCCAATGCAGCATCCATTTTCTCCCCCGCGGAATGTAAATCACTTTCCACTAAAATCCTGTCATCAGGCACGGCACGAACTATATCGGGAAACTTGTTGCGGCTTGATACCGTGCCGAGATTCACTGCCGTAGAAAACGATACGTATATTGTTGCTGGGTTCGTAGGGTTAAACCACTGTTTTAGACCTTCCACGGAGCCGCTGTAGGAATGAAGACAGATCCGTGGCGGGTACGGCTTCACAGTAACAGTGTTAGCATCCTCCTTGTCTGAGTCGTCTTCTGCTCCTGGGGCAATCATGCGTTTTTCACGTCGCGATGGAATGTGTTTCTCGTGTCCTTTCCAACAATGGGATACCACGTCATACAGAATGCCGTGAGCTTGGACTCCGTGAATGCTAACGGGTCTGCCGGTTTCGCCTGCAAGACGGAGCTGGGCACGAAAAATGGCTTCTTGGTGCGACATGCGTACTCGGTGAGGACTTAATAGCCTCCCCTCTCGGCCGCCAGGTGTCAAGGTACCATCTCTGGATTCGGCCAATGCAGGGTCCCATTTCTGGGGCAAGCGAAACGCCTTGTCGAGGCCAATCTCGCCAACGAGGGCCAGAGGAAAAGCTCCGAATCGGGTACGGGTTGAACTGATGAATGACGAAAGTGGGATCGGTGTAGGCAAGGAAGCAATAAAGCCATCATCTTGGGGTGATGGTGTGAGAACCGCCTGATAATGCACCTTCTTGGCGGCTAACAGTACGGTTTCATCCGTGTCGTCTCCCGCTGGCAGTGGTGGCGGTTTATACGTAGGCTCAGCGGCAACGTCATCGTACAGTTGATAAGAAAACCACGGATGCCATCCAAACGAAGGAATGACTCGGCAGCTACGTTGTACTGCAGGCCTTGGTTCTTCTCCTGCCGATACCGAGACTGCTTCTGCATCGCCGTGGCCATTATTCTGACATCCGCCTCCACGACCCCGCAAACTTGCCCGGCCTTTGACGCCATGCACCGACGCCACGCCGGCAACCAAATCTTGATCCTGCGAACGAGTTGCCATGATGACAAGTGCGGAGGCACGCATGGTTTCGAGGCTGGTTATCGAGCGCATTGTGTCGGTGGGATGGCAGTGGGCATCGAAGACGGGCAAGTGCCACGAAAAGGCTTCATTGTTTGCAGATGGTGGACGATTCGCTTCACTCTGTGGTGAACACTTGTCAATTTGGTGATGCTGACACATTATTGTCAAGGAGTCTTGAACGTTTTTATAAGTCGCTGCTGTGAGTCTCAACACGTTGGTGACAGGATACAGTTGCGTATCGCCTAGTGTACGCCGATATACTTCCTACAGTATATTCCGGTACGGCGTGCAATAGTCCAGGTCGCTTGTCTAGTCAGATAATACGTTTGCTCCCACTGTGTTGTCTATGCAGAACGGTTGGAGGCTCTGGCGGGGTAGGAAGAGAGAAGGGCGTCTGTCTCCAGCCTCCGTGGGTGGAGAAGTCCTGCAGAGGCTGACGATGAGTGACACGATGACAATGTCAGAGCTACGTTTATCCCTCCGTGAAGCAAAAGGACCCTGGACTTTCGCGCCTTGCATAAATGAAATTTCGAATCCGAAAGGACCTAGATAGTTAGACGCATAAGAGAGCCGTTGAACACGAGGCTAGATACAGACTGTGTTGACCCCTTGCTTATCGCAGATCTCGGGAACTTGTCAGTGAAATGGATACGACCCTTGCTGTATCGACACCCCAGGTACTCCGTAATGGACATGGAAACTCAAACCAGGCGTGGCCCACCTGTCAAGTTGAGCGTCGAAATGGAGACGCCGGGGGCTGGCCCATCATAGTCACATTCGGTGTCTGCGAGATTCTTCATACGCTCTGCGTCTTGAGTCGAAAGCAGTAAGGTCCGGAGAGATTCGGGAGCCCCTCTGGTTGCTGGGGGTGCTAAACTGCTGATCTTTGAGGGGAAAGGTGGTGATAAGTTGGGTAGCCGAGGCGGAGGCTTGCTTTATTACGGTCGGTTTTTGGATGTTACTTCTCTGATCTGACTTGTTGCTCTGGAATTGCACTTGCACTAGGTCATTGTTAGCTCTCTTGGTCCCTGTCTCTGTTGTACTCACTCTGTAGTGCGGCGGTTGTTGGTTGTGTCTCCGCCGCCGACATGTGATTCGGCCCCTCAGTCTCACCACGGTCACGGCATGCTCCTTGGGCTGCTTGAATGGATCGGCCCATACCTTCCATCACCCATGTTCGTCTCTGACTTTTATCTTCTCCTTTTGCCGGCTTGTATCGAACGATCTTTATGTCGCTTGACTGCATCATTTGGTGATTGGAGGGTTTTGAAATGAACACAAGCCTACACACGATTGTCAGCATTCAAAAACAGCTGATACGCTCCTTCCCGTTCTTTTATCCCACTACGTCTTGGCAGTGACTTCAACGTCGCTCCTTCCTCATCGACACTATCAGATTCTATCGCTGCCCGTCGATTTTTGTTGGCTTAATCACGTGCTGTGTCTCAGAACAACACTTCTTTCTCTCTCTCGCACATCATACATCTACTCCTGCCATGTCATTGTGGGTAAATGTGAAATAGCGGAACAAAAAATCCCGAATCATGTCAAGCCATAGAACCATGGCGCTGTTGAATCCGGTCTATGCATTCGTTGTTCCATTCTTGTTTGTTGTCACCGTTCCTCTAGCCATCTTTGCTGGCATAACCACGACGCTTGCCTTTGGCGTTCTCATCCTCCGCGTTGTCATAGTCTATCTGGATGTTGCCCTCTCACTCATACCGCAATCTCTGGCGAGTTTCAAGCTTCGGCGGCGGTATATAAGCCACGAGGCACGAATGCTCCCATCTTTCAGCACTTGGTACGGGAGCAGCAACGGGGATAGCTCAGCAGCAGCATCTACCCAGCAGGCAGCGCCATTACACCTCCGAAGACGTCGCCGACCCAGCAGCAGCCTCAGCGTCATATCGACGGGTGGCTCTACCACGCCCGTCAGTGAGTTTGGGCTAGGGTTGATGCCCAGCGTAGGGCCAGAGCGAGACTTTGAGGGGATCGGAGGCTGGCGGTCCGGCGATGACGATGAGGTTTGGACGACAATCAACTCTCGAATGGAATTACCAGATCGGCAATTTACACGACATCACTATCGATCTGCGTCTGGCGGCGGAGCCACAACACCAGGCGACGGCGGAGTCTTGATGATGAAGACCAGGCGTAGGAGTCCAGAATCCAAGACCGTAGTGCGAGCGGCCACGTCGCCAAACAGCTCGAGAGCTAGAACTCCTTCGGCTTCACGCGTGCAAAATCTGACAACTCTTGGCAACGCTAACTCGGACAGTTACTTTCCGTTGGCCATGTCTCCGAAGGCCTCCAAGAAGATGTCAGTATAAGAGGGCGCATTACAGTCAGTTCAGGGTGTGCGGGTGTGAATGGATATCTGGCCCCTGGGGCAGACTTTTAGGGCTGGAAATGGGACACAGGACATGGTCAGCCCACTTTGTAAAATCTTTAACGACTGACGAAACAAATGATGCAAGAAGGGTCTGGTAGGCTGGACTACATGACGAATGAAAGACGTATATTTCAACAGGACACCACACCTCATTTCGCTGCCAGCTAATTCAGGGTAATGCGAATGGCGTAGTTACACCACCTGTTGTTCAAGAAAACCGCGTCGAACCAATCACGGGTCAGTGTCTCACCTAGATTGGCAAAACAAGGTGCATGTGCATATATAATCCTCACGGGTGTTAAACCATACTCGTACGAAACTGGATAAAACAATCGATGAAACGAAACTGCCAAGTCTCGAGTGCCAATGCATATATATATTTGGCATGTAAGTTAAACTCGCACTCCCATTCAACTTGGCATCCACCTTCCTTACCCATAGATAATGCTCGTCGCAAAATCCCCTCTCCGCGCCGGACGGCAAAGTCTTCCCTTTCCGTTGTACATGATCCAGTCCTGTGCTCCAAACAGACTAAGAACATTTCCAGACGACGTCTGCGCCCGGCAATCGGTAAAGTCGTACTGCGTAAAGGCAGGGAGCGGCTCCGGCGGGCTGCCCGGGGCCTCGGCGATCCACTCGGCCGTCGCGAAGCATAGAGACGGACCGGGGGATGTCGCCATTTCTTTGTACCTCTCGCCGGTGGACACGTTTTCGACGTATCTGCGTTATTGTTATTGGTTTGGAGTTTTTGTGGCATAGACTGGATCGCCTGACTTACATTGTGCCGCTCCTGGGGGATGTTGCGTCCACTCGGACGTAGACGGTATCTCCGGGGGAAACTACAACAGTTGAGGCCTCGTGGGATCTACGGCGTGCCAAGGGGGGTGGTTCAGATGCGGAGTCGTACCTTTTACGTGTCCATATACGGGGGGCCCCGGCCAGAATTCGAACCACGTGTAATATGAAACTCGCCCCTTTTCAATCTAAGCTACCCATTAGTCTTTGGAGCCTCTTGGTGCGGAAGGGGACAGAAGCCTACGGTTTGTCCTGTTCCTCCTTGGAGCAGAGCGCCGCAGTCCCTCGTTCCGTCCAGACCAACCCACTGATAGAACTGGTAGCGTTCACTGAGCCAGCCACCTTTGGGCAGAAAGACTTCCGGAACGGTCCAGGTGCCTTCCACAGAGGTGATGCCTGAGCCGTGGGTCACAGGGCCACACCAATTGCTCGAGTTGAAGCGCTTAAAGATGCTGCCGGCCGTTTCGTTGCGGGCGAGGCTCGACGCCCCGAGGAGGAGAGTGGGCAAGTATCGCATGTTGAAACGGTTGTATCTGAAGCAAGAGTGCGCATGTTCAAACAGGGATACCAAGGCAGTCCATGTATATATCGTTTTCACGCCCTATCCAAGGCCACGGGCCTTCCGCCAGAGGTCTTCTGGGGTAAAGGAGAGGGAATGAATACTCACGATCCACAACCAAGTATAACTTCTCCACTTCCCGCCTATGCTAAGAGCAGACGGCTCAATCCTGGCGAGACTAATAAATCCTCCGGAAACTATTCGTTCGGAAAGACACAGCGGCCTTTGCCGTACATGTTCCTTTTCCGGTTCCCAATCCAAAGAGCCGGGGCCGCGGATGGAACCTCGAGCATCCTCCGCAAGGCCTTCCTATTACAGTATTGGGGAAAGCTTCCGATATAGGACATCATATCGTGGGGTTTGATTAGAAACCGGATGAATATCGGCGGCGGGATCCGTGGAGATTGTGAATCTGGTCATGTTGACTACGTAATGTACATAAACGGCCGTCGTAATCTGTGCGTCGCCGCTCACGCTTTGCTCGTAAGGTACAACTCGGTACGGCCAAGTAGATCGTTCCGAGCCGCATCCTCAAGTACAGGCCATCAAGCGATGAGAACTATTGATTCAGACCGGTCTCGATTCACCACATGGGGACGTTTACGTTTCAATATACGGGTGCGGCCCTGGAGCCAGCTATTACACTTATACCCCGGAAGCAACGTTATGATTGTGTTGGCATAAACCAACGCGTCTGACTGCGGGGGGTATACGAAAGAATCTCTTTGGGAAATTGAAAAACAGCATCAGTTGACCTCTACAACTTTTTATCGTTCCGGGATCCAGAAGTGTGTCGGTAGAAAGGCACTGAATTTGCGACGTCCACGTCAGGGGCGTAACGACGAGTCAAGTGAGTTCCGAAACATGATTGTATTTTCAAAAAATATATTATAGGCGATGTACGAATATCCTGTCTTGGCAATGAGCAGCGCCGTAAGGCACTTGAAACTACGCTGTGAACCGAACCTCATTGCAACTCATACGTAGTCATCGAATAGCGTTGAGTTCGCAGTGAACGGTAGCAACCCTATTCTTAAATTCTAAAAAACCATTAATCTCGGTTCCGTCCTGTAAGGCAACCCAATCAAGCAAGTTCCGCCAGAGTTCTTCCTTGCACCGTCCTCCTCCCCTCGTAGGCCGGCGACATCTGGGTCTCTGGTGGGAACTGAACCGTCGTATTCATCTCCATTATACCTACCATTGACAAGTGAGCCCCATACTCCCTATGGCATAATTGAAGTGCATTCGGCCAGATCCCTTTTCTTCTTCACACGTCGGCGAAAGCAGACGATGCCGGCAATGACCAAGGCCAGGAATAGAGCAACCGGTCCGATCACGGCAGCCGTTATCCATGCCCTAGTTTCCGCCACGGGTTGAGGCGCAGAGGTATCCAACGCGTCAATTCTTCGGTATACCGTCCCGATGGATACAAAGCTTTCGATACACTCCATTTGGCTAAGCGCGGTTTGCGTCCCGGCCGGGTATTCTTCAAGCACTTGGATCGTATTGCATGCTGCCGCTTCAGACGTGCCTCCCACGTCATTAACAATCAGTACATCTCACAGAGCCGGAAATCAAGCCGAGGAGAAATAAAGCGCACTATAAAAAAGAAAAGAGACACAGAAGAGACAAGATGACTACTCATCACTAGCACAGGCGAGAAAAAAAAGTAAAGTAATTCAACGTCAGATTTGCCAAGACCCGCGCACTCACCAATCTCTCTCTTTGCCGTCCGCTCAATAACATGTGTTCGATACGCATTTCGTGTCCATTTTACACGGATCGGAGTTGCAGCACGCGCCGTATGGGCCCGAGGCGACGAAGCTATATGACGTGGGACAGTATAATGGTGTGAAGGCCGCTATTACTACGAGTCGGTCAGTTTCTGCAGGCCCTTTCCATGTGAATGCAGTGTGAACCGGGCCACGGATTCAACATACCACTTCTGGCCGTTGGGATCATCCGGCCCGAAAAATAAGTCAGCCTCCTGAGCATACGGGTGGTCCAGGCCGTTGTCGTTGTTCGCCCCATTGTTGAATCTGGCCTGGCTAACGTCTCTCTCAAAACAACGTTATTTGATCATCCGTCCGTCGAGCCGTGGGGAAAACGAGAATCATCTTCATTGCCATCGCGGCGGCCTATAACGAGAGTGCCTTTGGCCATGTTAAATTCAGGATCCTTTTCAAATAAAGAAACTTCAGAAGGGAAAGAATCCCTCACGCACCGCCATGTCGACCCCTGCCTAGGCGCTGCCAACGAGATAAAAAACATCTCAACCAATACGTCTCTTGGTGTGCTGCTGAGATTCATGCACATTAGCGCAGGCCGATCAAACTTCTGAGCTTAACGCCTCACAGTTCCACACAGTTGGTGGCAAAGAATCTTTCTGGAGCAGTCTGGAGCAGTAAAATGGTAATATGATGCAAGGGATTCCTCAAACTCTTCGTTCAAAGGCGTTGCAGCGCTGTGGCATCGACGATATGTTGATCATCCGTCAGAGCGGTGTTGGGCTCCATTTAACAACAACGCAACAGGAGGCTGTAGTAGACGAAGATTGCTGTCGTCAGTGTGTCAAAGCTAATTGACGCCCGTTCAACTCACTGCCGGCATTTGATGGTCGACAGAGCTTTGACTATTGGTGGTCAATGTCTCATGTCCCCGGCTGTGTGGTTCAACAAGCTCCGCGAAACCGATAAGAGATGTGCTGTGTTCAAAAACAAGTAATCAGGGCGGTTTGATACCGATAGGAGCCAGTGCTAAACGGGCCGTTATGGCTCATCAGTCCAACTCGCTCGTCGTCCACCTATCCTACTCCAAATGCCATCGTAGGTACATCCAAAACTCCGGGTATAACCATCCAACGCCCACCCAGCATCCTCACCAACTTCCATCCCTTGCTACAGCGTCTGCCAGAAATAATTGGCATAAAAGTACCTGGAAAACTTCTTGTCCATGTTCACAACGTGCACATCCCCCCTGCCATCGTTCCTCACCACTGCCCTAGTCCACTCCCCATCCTTCTCATCCCGCTCAATATCAATCCCCAGACTCCTGTACACTTTTAGCCGCAAAAGCACCTCGTCATCCACTGCGTCTCTCCTCCGCGCATTCTCGTCGCCCCCGACCCCTTGCAGGTCGAGCTCTTGCAGCCGCGCACTCAGGTCCGCCGCCTGCTGCGCCAGCCGCTCGGCCTCCATCTCCGCGTCGCTAGCTGCCTTTGCGGTGCGGAACTTGCGAGTGTCCAGTGTTGCAATCTTGGACGCGTGGTCTGTCGCCGAGTGAGATGACGTTAGCTCGGCGTGTTGCGAGGAGAGTGTGTTTAATTGGCGGGACAGCTTTTTGAGAGATGATTCGGCATCGCGCATGCGCAGTTCACGGGCTTGTTGGAGGGTTGAAAGAGACTCGCTGATGCGGGAGATGGCGAGTTTGTCTGGGTCGATGTTGAAGTTGTTTACTGTGTGGCTGATGAGCTGTCGGAGTAATGTAATCAGTATGTTGACAGTAGAAACGAGTGTGCGTCAGACATACTGTTGCGGGGTCCTCTGAGAGTAGCATTTTCGCGGTATTCTTCTTCAAATTGTAATTATATGTCGGCTGTTGGGCTTTTTGTCTCCTCTTTCCATTCGTTTGCAATGCCGTCGCGTGAAGTCCAGTTGTGGATGCAGATGTTGGATGTACATAAGTTCAAGGCAGAGTTGTGACCCACCTTTATCGTCACTGGACATGCTTCAATCCCACCAACCAGACGGCACACTCCATCGTCAGGGGCAACTATCTTATCATCTGTCATCCGACATCCGACATTTCACCGTTGCGCGGAGTACGTCCTCCGTTCGGGTCTTCGCACGAGATGCAGCGTCATCGTCGCCACACCCGAGTTCAAACCCAGTGCAAGCCACACACGCCTGAGCTCCAAACTCGAGGTCGACCAGTCACTCCCAACTCAGCATCCTCAGCACCTCCCACCACACATATCCCTACTCAACCTGGTCACAAATTAATTCATTCATTCAGGCCATCTTCGCAGTGCCGAACAAAATGGGCACTCAGCTACCTTGTAGGAATAACCACATGTGTTTCCCCCGTCCCACCACCCATATTGCCGAGGCAGACGCTAACCATGACGATTCCTCACAGATGCTCTCGACGCAGAGACGTCAGTCACCACCATCCACGCAAATACATGCACGCATGAATAACCCATAATCTAACACGTTTTAGGCCGTTGAGTCCCTCGGAGCTACAAGTCCTACGAGCCCAGTACGAAAAAGAAGGTGACATGGTTGGCGTCCAGACAAAATTCAACTACGCATGGGTACGTCTTATGCCACCTCATATCTTACTCTTTTTTCGTTATCGTTGCCATTGCTTGTCCCTTTCTCCCTTTTCACTCCCTCCCACATACTCGCCTCGGCTTCTGTTTACACATCGCTCATCACCTTTCCATAGGGCCTCGTCAAATCAAACAATCGCAATGACCAACAACTCGGCGTCCGCCTCCTCAGCGATATATTCCGTCTTTCTCCCGAACGTCGCCGCGAATGCCTGTACTACCTCGCCCTCGGAAACTACAAGCTCGGAAACTACGGTGAGGCGCGTCGCTACAACGACCTCCTGCTCGACAAGGAGCCCGCGAACCTCCAGGCTTCGGATCTACGCCAACTTATTGACAACAAGGTCGCCAAGGAGGGGCTAATGGGGGTAGCCATCTTGAGCGGCGTTAGCATTGCCGCTGGGGTTGTCGGCGCATTTTTGTTCAAGAATGCTAGGAAAAGGTAGAAAGTCATTGGAGGAAATGAAAGAACACAAGATCGGGAAGACCAAGTATCACCAGAATATAGCTTTACCAAACTTCAGACGGGGAACGGAGCGGGTCTTAGAAGGCCTGAGGAGGGTCGATTGCCACGTTGTGGCCGTTGTATTATATAACTAAAGGGAGCCTACGTTCATGAAGCATGCATATAATGATATCAATTCCAGCACTGCCGATAAGTGCACAACAACTCGGTGTGACAGCTACTTTGGGTTGGAAATGTATGAAATAAGCCTTTGTCTGCAGAAACCCAAATCAGCGTCAACAGATTAACATCTCTTATCAAGACGAAGTACGATCATCATGCTTTCAATCAATTATTGTCACAAGGTCCACAACACGACACATACGTAGAAAAGCCAATAAAATCAAGCTAGCTAAGAAAGACAAACGAGCCTGGACGACAAATCCGCGTCAAGACGTCAAATAAAAACAACCTGTCCCAATCACACCACTAAAATACAACAGTTGCTGTTCGGCCCTCGCCGGCCAAATCATTCATCTGCTCCTGTCCAAGTCAAATCCGCAACCAGTGCTCCATACAGATGCGACAAAGGGTATCCGGGGGCAGTTAGGACGACAAGACAAAGATGCAGGTATTGCCGACCAATCTTGCTGGGCATATAGATTAAAGGAAACCATAAGTGTGACCAACACGTTCGTGCCGAAAAGACAAAGGTTCTTTTCCGCACTTTAAAAGAAGGGGCATCCTCCCATGGCGAATAGAAGAGCTCCCAAAAGAAATTGCGCAAGTATGCTCTCATTCTTACAAGAAAAGAGAGCACCATCTCAGTCTCTTCTAAAAGACACACAAACATGAGAGCATCGTCCAAGCCATGCTTAGACGTCTCCAGCTTCGCAGAGAAGAACAGTTTCAGGCACCACTCCGAAGATGTAATCGCCGCACACTCACCAAAACTACTTTTTACTTTTCTTTCGCACTGTTGAATATTTCCATAGTCCGCAGCCTCTTGACCGCTACGAGACCACGGTTCCATAAAAGAAGTACTTCGGTTGTCTGTCTCCGTTGAGACAACTTTTGTTCAGGGTGATTAAGAGAAGACTCTGATTAATGACAAAAAAAATGTGGCCAGAGAAGGCCAGCGAAACTAGAATCGAAAGGATAAGGAAAGGCGTCTAGCGGCTGGTGTGTGGCGTGTCATGAGTACTCAGACGTTGATCGTAGAGATGGCAAACTGTGCGTCGCTTAAGACTCGAAATTGGTGTCTCTCAATTTTAACGCAATGAGAAACCCTTGCGTTTGCCCTCCTTCTCCAACGGCCGCCCGCTCTCAATACGTTGCTTCTTGTCTTCAAGCTCCGCTCGTTGGCGTTCAAGTTGCTCCTTCATCTCTCTGTGGCGGGCGTAAAGCTCCTCCTCGGACTGCTTGAGCTTGCTCTCCTTCTCGGCCACCTTCTGTTGGAAGACCATCTTCATCTCGGCTTCCATCTTGGCTAGCTTCTGCTCGTGCAGAGCACGCTCCTCTTCCTGTTTAACAGCAGGGTTGACTTCCTTGAAGACACTGGGGTCTTGTGACACACCCATGGCAATGAGCTTGTCGGTACGGTAGTTCTCATACAGGGCATTGTTGGTGTTCTCTTTGAGCTCCTCCATATGAGTTCGGATGAGCATCTGGCGGAGTTTGACAAAATCGCAATGCTCCTCGTTATCGACTTCAATGATACCCCATGGGTATTGCCGTCCGCGAACGGCCCGGCCATCAGTTGTCTTGATCTCATTGGTAGCACCAACAACAGCGAAGGGGACCTTGGACATGATCTCGTTGTTCTCGGCAATTGTCTCCTCGTCGTCCAGCTCATACCGAGGGCCCTCGAAGATCTGAATGCCATGGTGCTTGATGTCGGCCAAAATCTACGAGATGGTGAGTACAACAGCTCAATTTCAGCACATCGAGGGTTCCTATGTGGAGTGACTTACTCTAGCCTTAAAGCTTACAATCTCCTCATCGGTGAGAGTGTCTGACTTCGCAATTACGGGAATCAAGTTGACCTTGGTGTGAAGGCGTCGCATAACCTCAATGTCCAGGGGCTTCAAAGAGTGGCCGGTAGGCTGAATGAAGAAAACACAAGCATGGATACGGTTGTCAACAATGTTCATGCGGTTAACCTTGTTCTCAGCATCGAGGTAGGCATCATATCGACGCTCGATATCGTCAACAATTGGGCGCCACGACTCGTCATTGTTAACGAAGTCACCGAATCCCGGGGTGTCGACGACAGTCAAGCGGAGGCGGACACCCGCCTCCTCGATATCGGCACTAATAGCCTGAATCTGGACAGTTTTGGGGATGATGTCCAAGCTTGGACCTTTGCGCTCTCTTGGGGGATACAAAGAAGTGTTGAAGAGAGTATTGACGAGAGTAGACTTGCCAAGACCGGATTCACCTTTGATATAGGCGGTTAGCCCCTTTCCGTCAGCCTACGGAATCATCAACACATACCAACAACCATTACATTAAAGTTGAAACCCTTGCGAACACTCTTGCGGTGCCACTGGTTTGGCAGGTTGGCAAAGCCGACATAGCCAGTGAGCTTCCTTCGGACAATGTTTCGGGCGTCCTGAATAGAAGAAGGAACAGATTGAGAAGGAACTGCAGGAGCGGGGTCAGAAGGATGAACATCTTGAGCAGAGGCCGCGGATTCAGGCTTGCCAGCAGGAGGTGAGGCGGGAGAACCCGTGGGTGAATCGGAACTGTTGGAAGCTGTACGAAAATATCATTAGCATCTAGGAATGCAAAGGCAAAGATGTGAACGCATCGAGAGTCTGTGGTAGGAGTAGAGGCAAGCATAAAAGAATGAGGCAGAGAGGCTAACAGCTCAGATCTTTGACCTGACTGTCAGCAGTATCCGTCTGAATCCCGCAGGCACTATCAACCGTCGATTCGGACAGCGGCTCCTCTGACGTGGATTCGGGGGGCTGTTGGCTCTGCGGAGTGTACAACTCGTCAAAGGACATGGGGTTCAGAGGGTTCAGCCTTGGGGGATCCTCAACGTCAAGCATGCTTCGATATTGGCGAACGGTATCCGTGACTGACGGGGCCGCCGAGGTCGATGTTGATAGCACAGTAGTCGTGTTCTGTGTGGCCACAATGCTGCTTGTCCGTTTAGAGGCAATGGTTGGCTCTGCTGAAGCGCTGCTCTGGTCTTGCATGGCATCCGGTGAAGAGTTCCGGGTACGTGTTTTGCCTTGTTTTGCCAACTCCGTCGCCATTATTGATCATAAGACTCTTCGTCTTTAATCAAATTAAGAAACAGAAGTAGTAGTGCACTGGAAATGCTGTCAAGTCCAAAAAAAGGGGGGGCACGTTGGGTCCCGACAATGAAATCCAAGAAAGTGTAAATGTCGTAGAACGAATGTCCATGAAGTTATTGCGTTGAGAATTTAACAGAAGTAAGGACAAGAGAAGATGCCATGAACAGGTTCCGAAGAGATTGTTTGTAGGAGCCGCCTCGGCCGGGGGAGGTAGGTTGTTTGAGCTCGTGGTGGTATCTGCCTCTGTCTCCTGCCTCTGTAGCAGACGGGGGCATCCGGTTGCGCGTGCCAACTCATTTGCAAAAGAAAGTGTGTCCTTACCCATATCGATGTATAAAGAGCGGCCGCTCGATCTCTAAAAGAATGGAGAAGGTAGATTCTGCGAAAGAGAAAAAAAAGTCAGCTACGTCAGGGAGGAGCTTGGATGGGGTCAGGGGAGAGGGGCGGCCGACTGCACTTGGGAAGAGAACAGCTTGGGACTTCCTGCGTCAAATAAAGACAGGCAGGAGGACTCAGCTCGGCATAGATGACAATGTCAAGAATTCCCACGATGCGTGCAGTGGTAGAGAGTCAAGTACACAATGGGATTCTGCGCGAAAGGACATTGCACGCCGGAGCAACTTACTAAGGGAGAGATTAAGACAGGAGAACCCGGCGAGCAAGAGCACGCGTGTCAAAGGACGGGGCTCGAGAAGAAAAAATAAAAGAGAAATCGACCACAAATCGTCAACAGAGAGGCCCGGGACGACGCACAAAAAAGTCGACGTTGAGGAAGTAGCAATGATGGGGGAGGGAATGGCGGAAGTGAAGTCAAGTTTGAAAGGTCAAAGATGGAGATGAAGGTCAAAGGGGAAACGGGGGGGCGGCGTACATGGCGTGCATGTGGTGAGAGCGCGAGAGCGCCCGAGGACCTCTTGAGGAAATTCTGGTGCGCGGCCGCAAGCCAGCGAAGGCAGGCGCGACCTGACTGCTTGCCCTGTGCACATTGTGCATGCTGCTCCTCGTACTCCGTACAATGTACCTGCCACTAGAAGAAAGCCGCAGCCGGCGCCACGGCACCCCAGCACCCCAGCACCCCGGGACTCAGCACGCGAACATTAGAATACCAGCGCCCGCACCACTCCAAAACCTCCCAGTCACCATTACAATTAGTTAGGCGTAGTGCACCACCAGACAGAGACAGGCCAGTCGACATCTGGGCATTCGGCGGGCTGGCGAGGTGCAGGTGCTGGGGCCTTTGGATGGGACCAACATAGGGGTATGTGCTCAACTATGCCCAATTGGGCCTAGATTGGGCCAGGGACTCAACAATGCTTGGGGACTTCAACGGCAAGGAGCTGCGTGGGCACGCTGATTGGCTGGCAGGCCTCTCAACCTGCCAATCCGAGACCTTGATGGACGGGGCTCACAGAGGGTAGCTTGGGGTGGGAGATGAGGAGCCCATGCCACAGGGGGCTGTTCAGGGGGTCGACAAGGCTACTGGGGGCCATCGGGTGGCAGCTTGAGCCGCGGAAGCCATTGGGGTCGCTGCAAAATTGCAAATCACAGCGACGGTCAACGGGTTTGGGAGGGCACTGGGAGAGAGGAAGTTGACCAGACACCAATTGATTGGAGAGCACGAGAAAGGGGCAACATTGAGACAGTTTCTGATCAACACGACTAGGCAGAACAAAGGCTTTAATATCTTGGAAGCCGTCTGATGATCTAACATTGCCCATCCCCACTCCCAAAGTCTAGATTTGTATTTCATTATTACTCGACTAGCCAAGAACTACTCGAAACATGTGAAGGGTGCATCTACCGTGATTGATGGAATGTAGGCAGAGTTTTCTTTCCACTTGTCAATTTGATAGGACGACTATTTGGTTTGCACTTTTTGTTCCTCTTTGGTCATTCAATGTCCCTCTCCACTGGTCTGGTCGTCTTGCATGCGAAATCCTGACACCCTTGGGCAGACCAGTGCCCTGTTCTCCTTGTGACCGGGCGCATTATGCATATCGTCAAAAGCAATCGCGTCTGCCGTCCCATCGCCGTTCTACGCCGTTCTGCAGTTCGATGTGGAATGCTCGTGTTGCCTTGCTCGTATTATTGCAGGTCCTGCTACGTATTATAAGCATATGTATAACTGCGGAACGGCCCATTAGGCTCTGTCTCCGTGGTGGACCAGATTGAGGGCAACCATGTCATGAATCCACTTGGGCATAGCTATTCCGTAAATGTTGTGAGACGTAGGACACGACAACTCATATATTGGCGCAGAGGGACAGTACACATGAAAACTTTCACACAAGAGGAGACAAATAAATAGAAAGAAATAGAAACAGAAAACACAAAGCTTAAGCGTGCAAATGATGCTGCAGTGCATTGACGGCCATGACTTGTTTCCGAAGAGCATTGTCTGTTCTGGAGATCCAGGGTAGGTGGAAGTTATATAGTGACGTCTTCCGTCTAGTGCAACACATGACGGTCCGTTCTATTGCGTGTGACGAAGAGTTATGCTTAATATATTGATAAGAGAGCCCCAACGGCAGTGGGTTTAACAGAATAGCGCCCCAATGCACATTCCATATTCTATTATATACAGTCTCAACACCTATTGCTCCTACAGATTCGCCTGTTGCCTGGCAAAGAACTTCTTGGTTTCTGTGCACCTTTCGCTCCTGCAGCTGGGGCATCGAAGATTCATTTGCTTCGAACAAGCTTCGCCACTCCTCAAATGTGCCTTGGCGATATCTGCAAGAGCTTCAATAAACACCGGGCTACCATTCAGACTGTCTGCTCGCTTAATTGTGTCCGTGTGACCACTCTCGCCAATTACTTCATGGTCTAACTCGTACAACGTCTCGATGTGGTCCGACGTGAAAGCGATGGGTATTAGGACCAAGTTCTTTTGACCCTTGGCAACATATTGTTCCACCGTGGTTGCAGTCTGGGGGCCGAGCCATGCAGACGGACCAACCTGAGATTGCCAGCATAGGCGGTACGGATTAGAGAACTTGAGTCGTTCCATAACAGCGTAAACGGTGGCGGCAACCTCGCCAGGATACGGGTCACCCCTGTTGACAACAGACATGGGAAGACTGTGGGCGGAAAACAAGAGAACCACATCCTTTCGGCGGTTCTCGGGATATTCGGCCAACTTGGCTTCAATGTTCTGCGCAAAGGCCTCAACAAGCCCAGAGTGAGCTGGCCATCTGTCGATTACGCTCCAAGTAATGGTACCCTCTCCGCTTTCATCCACCTTCTTTCCTTCCAGTCGTTGCCTCCACTTCCACAGCTCGTTCAGACTGGAACCAGTAGTGGAGCACGAGTATTGGGGATATTGAGTAAAAGCAACAGCTCGGCCACCCTTGCCATTGCCAAAGCCATCTGCGAGAAGTTGTTGGTACATTTCCTCGGTTAGAGGATCAGCATATCTGAAAGCCACATAGGGCTTGTGGGGTGCAGTCTCTGGAGATGTCTTGTCCAATATCTTGCACATCTCGGCGCTCTGGTATTCGGACCATTTTCGAATTGGGGAGCCGCCGCCGATGGCAGCGTACTGTTTCTGAATCATGGGTGTTCGCCGCTTCGAGAGGAGGGGGCCTAAGTAACCTTGGAGTCGACCCAGCGGAATCAAATCGCCGTCGGACTGGGATTCGCAAAGTGTTAGCAGGGCATTGGACTACTAGTGACGGCACGCATTGAAAGTATACATACGAACAGGCGACTCAGGAAATCGCCAACTTCGTCGGTCTTCGATGGCCCTCCCATGTTGAGGAACACCATTGCGGTTGGGCCTTTTGAGCCCGTTGCATCCTGGGTGACAGGCGGCACTGGCGTCGCAAATTGCCGAGCTTGCGTTGCAACTTGGGGCGTGACAAGTCGGGAAGATGAATTTCTCGATAGTCCCCTTAGGAGCTGTTGTGTACAGATCCGCGATGGCATGATCAATGACTTGAAATCCAATGACTGAGATTAAAAAAAATTAAAAAACCAGCCGTTGTGAAGAGGATGGGCAGTGCAAGTTCCAAAAAGCCGATGCTCCGAGTGTAGTTCTGCACTCGGGATCGGAGACGGACCATATTTATGATGCAAGTAATCCTGGCGCCAAGACAAGCTGGAATAGTTACGTAGGTACATAATCATTGTAGAGAATAAGCACATGAGAGCAAGTTTCTTTTAGCAGTTGTCAAATCTGTCCAATGGCATCAAAGGCAATAAATGGTAATGAATCACGTGATGTCGCGACAACCTGCTCAACCGCGCAATGCGCCAACCATTAGGGCGCGTTTGCCTGGAGCTGTGATGGCGGAGGCCCACAACAGTCATTTACAGCTTTCAACGCGCTCAGCATGCTGTGTCTGATTCATTTCGACTCGGATTAAACAAGGTTCAATTAATAATGGCGGAAAACGGCCAGGATTGGAAGAGGGAGGATGAAGATGATGGTGATCAAGAGATTGACGAGACGGTAAACATGCGCCAACACATAATTCATTCACTAGTCCTTCATGACATGCCTGACAATCACCTAGACATACAAGGCACAGAAAGATGCCATCATAATGGCCATTGAAGTCAGCGACTCTATGATGAAGCCGCCACCGCCATCGGATTCCAAGAAGGCGGACCAAGATAGTGCTCTCGAGGCAGCCCTAAAATGCGCTTACCATTTGATGGAGCAACGCATCATATCCAACCCTAAGGATATGATGGGCATTCTACTCTTTGGAACTAAAAAGACCAAATTTTATAACGACGAAGACGGCCGTAATGGCTTGGGATATCCTAACTGCTATCTTTTCACGGACCTTGACATCCCCTCTGCGGATGACGTCAAGGTGCTTAAGAATCTTGTTGAGGATGGCGAAGACGACGATGAAGTATTGACGCCATCAAGTGATCGCGCCATCATGTCGAACGTGCTCTTCTGCGCAAACCAAATCTTTACAACAAAGGCTGCAAATTTTGGAAGCCGACGCCTATTCATCATTACCGACAATGACAACCCTCACCCTTCCGACAAGGCGGCTATGTCGGCAGCTGCGGTTCGAGCCAAAGATCTTTATGACTTGGGTGTCACAATTGATCTATTTCCAATCACTAGAGATGATTCCAAGTTTGACTTGTCGAAATTCTACGACGTAAGTTATCCACCTCGTTTTGCTATCATGCTCCGGCAGTTGCGACTAATGCAGACAGGATATTGTGTACCGCGATCCGATTGCGGAAGCCAATAGCACTGCGGTGGCGATTTCCAAGTCGGGCGACGGGCTATCTCTTCTAAGCTCTTTGACCTCAAATATCAACTCTAAACAGACGCCGAAACGAGCCATGTTTTCAAATTTACCATTTGAGATTGCGCCTGGTTTACGAATCTCAGTAAAAGGATACAATGTGCTCCATCGACAAACACCAGCCAGGACATGTTACATTTGGTTGGAAGGAGAAAAACCTCAGATTGCCACTGGAGAAACCACAAGACTGGCCGAGGACAGCACCAGAACGGTTGAGAAAGGAGAGATGAAGAAGGCTTACAAGTTTGGTGGCGAATACGTCTACTTTACCCCTGACGAGCAAAAGTCTCTCAGGGATTTCGGACCGCCTGTTATTCGCATCATTGGCTTCAAACCCCGCAAGTTGCTACCAATTTGGGCTAGTGTAAAAAAGTCGACATTCATCTTCCCCAGTGAAGAGGATTTCGTTGGTTCCACTCGTGTATTTACAGCACTATGGCAAAAGTTGATCAAAGACAACAAAATAGGCATTGCATGGTGTATCGTACGGAGCAATTCCCAACCAATTCTCGCTGCGATCGTGCCGTCCAGGGAACGGTCTGATGACAAATCTGGAACGCCATACTTGCCAGCGGGACTCTGGATATATCCACTGCCTTTTGCTGACGACTTGAGAGAGATCAAGCCTCCAGATGGCGTGATGCAAAGCTCTGATGAGCTGAAGACGCAAATGAGGACGATTGTGCAGCAACTACAGCTACCAAAGGCAATGTACAATCCGCTCAAGTACCCCAACCCTGCGCTGCAATGGCACTACAAGATTCTCAAAGCTCTTGCTCTGGAAGAGGAAGTGCCGGAGACCGCCGAGGACGCTACCAAGCCGAAGTACAAGGCTATCAGCAAGCGAGCTGGTGGCTACTTAGAAGAGTGGTCGGGCAAACTTGAAGAAGATGCGGGAACGGCTAGAACGTCCAAATCGTTGAAACGGGAAGCCGATGATGAAGTATCCTATCGTCCGGTAAAGCAAAGGCGCGGCGCGTCAGGGCAGGTGAATCCGTCTTCCATGTCGGTGGCAGAGCTCAAAGAAGCCATCGCGAGCGGAGCAATCATGAAAATGACGGTTTCTCAACTGAGAGATATAGCCGGCTCTAAGGGACTCAGCACGGCAGGCAAGAAAGCAGAACTGGCGGAGAGAATAGAGCAATGGCTAGATGATGATGCGTAGAACTGTACTTGGGACAGTGCAGCAGTGTACAAGCGCACAAATATTCTGAACGGAATTCGGGATGTGCCTTTGACAGTTTTCGACTGCTTTTACTGGTGGCTTGAGCTCTTGTTCACTGTAAAAAATCTTGTGAGCAGTGTATGACTGCCAAGTGACGATAAGTCACGAGTCGGAAGTCTATGCTATGCCGGTCTTTAGGAAGAGTGGAAGAGAAACGACAATACTCCGTGTATTATAAAACGCAACGCAACATGAGCATTCTACTCAGATATTTTATATTTTATTCCCAATAATTAGTTGCATGAGGCTCAGCTGCTATGGCCACATCGCACTTCAAAGTGACAATTCACGTCCAGCTCGTGTGCAAAGGTCGGTCGGGTGGCGTTGACAAACAGGGCGCCCCACAATGGTCAGTTGATCGTTGATACGTACCAATATCAATACGGAGTAACTTACTCCGTACCTTCCAACCATTCGTACGCTCTCCACCGGTGGTTGGTTGGTCTTGCCATCGCAAACACCCCAACATCATCGCCGCGTGTCTTCTGTAAGGAGATACAAAGCGCGTCCTCTGGAGCAGCCATTGTGGCCGCAGCGTCGTCGCAAATCCGTGGCCATCTAGATTCCGGCAGAGCGTGTTCCTGTCGTGCCACCCACGCAATGGCTGATTTCCTCGCCAGCTTCAACTTCGGAACCGACGACGAGGTTGCGCTAAACGACGGCGCATGTGCATCGCTCGACGACCTCCAGGGCCGCCTCCGCGCTCTGATTGACGCAAAGACGACAGATACCCGAGCCGAACATGTCAGCGCGACGGTCGACGTTGCCGGCACGGCAGAATTTGCAGTGAATTTGTCACAAGGAGACAAGGATGATATGGATAACGTCGACCCGTTGCTTTCGAGCGAAGCAGGAGATGCCGATAGGAGTCACGAGGGCCAGACGCATGTGTATACGGCGATGGATGTGCTGAGGGACCAACCCAACCAGGCGCCTGTGGTCCAGAAGGCTGTGGCGGAACAGATTGCCATGGCTGCTGGTGTTGAAGACAAGAGTGTGTGGGCGCTGCATAGCTTCGAATCTGCAGCCCACGGGTGGGATTTCACCTTTGTATGTGAACAGTCGGTTCAGCATTGGAAAGCGCAGAACGAGGGGAGGACGAAGGCTATTGTCGGGGACTACACCAAGAGGGAACCTGATCCGGTCTTAATGAGTAGGTCACAGTGCTTGTTGCTTGTGTGCAGGGTGTTTATTCCTAACTTGATTTACTAGGTCGCCCGGCATTTGACTGTAGAGGACGACTACTTATTACCTTTTCAAGAAAAGCCCGTACAATATCCGTCAAGTACAACCATACAATTATGCACAAGACCGTCGCCGATCTCACAGAATTTTTTAAACCCCCGCCTATGATTGGGCCGCAGAAGCCAGATAAAAAGACGTTAGCCAAGGCTGCCAAATTGGCGCAGGACGAAGCCGCCAAGGTCAGAAGAAAGAAGAACAGGGAGCAACAAAGGGCGCAGGATGGCGAGTCTAAAGGACAAAGAAAGAAGAAGAGTAAAAAGGCAGCCGAGAATACGCAGCAAGAACACCTGTCGTTGGCGGAACAAGCCGCTCAGGCTTTGGATCATGTTGGCATGTCTCGACTTGCTGAAGCTGTTGCTGGGACGAATAACGATCAGGATGGAGATGGTTCTGCCGTGGGACGGGAAGCGAATCCGAGCGCTGGCTCTGCTATCAAGCCGTTGTCTCTTAACGTAACTCCGGAGGAGGCAGCGCGTCGAAAAGACGTCGCGACTAAGCTGTTGACGGAGGCTGGTGTGAACCCTGACTCGCTCTCTACCGACCAGTTCAACATCTTTGCAAATCAGGCACCAGAGCTTCAAAAGGAATCCCTTAACATGTTGATTCAATATGGAGCGGAGCGACTGCAGATCATCCATCCCAAAAATAAAGAAAGCTCAGCTCCAGCACCACCGTCCGATGTCTCTGCGTCAGGTGAGGGAACAGCCTCTGGTGCGAGGACGACAACGACAGAACTCGTCCTGGGAGACTCAACTCCAAAGCGCAAACGGAAGGGAAGTTCAAGACCTCTTGGAAAGTCGCGGCTTTCTTGTTTACCATGCAAGAATCGCAGAGTCAGGGTTTGTCTCCTTTCTTCGTCCTTCTTTTGCGTTGTATGATGTAGGGTGCTAACACCGATGTGATGTAGTGTCCGAAGGAGAGACCGATCTGCACAGAGTGCCAAGACGGCCAATTTGAATGCCAGTATCCCCCGCAGAAACCAAGAAGGCAAAAGAAAAAGTCTGAGGCGCTTGCGACTGATGACGTTGATGCTGACGCTAATGCTAATGCCGACGCTGACGCTGAAGATGACAATGCTGAAGCAGAGGCTGATGAGACTATTATGACTGAGGCAAACGCCGTTGAGACTCCCATGGGAGAAGCAAATGCTAACGCAGGACAACAAGAAGCGCCCCAGGACGACAACGACTTTAGTTCGGACCCTGGTGCGCCATACTCCTACCCCCAAATCCCTGGGCCGGACTTGGTTCGAGATCCCGCCCATGATCCCGTCCATGGCTTCCATCAACAGCCGACACAAGCTCCTTACTTCCAGTCCGCGTCAGGACTAGCACTTCCGCAGCCGGACCCTTTGAATGACGCACCAAGGTCTCAACTACATAATGGAATAACCTTGTCGGAAAGCAGCGTATATTACCCATCATATCCTCCTCCAGAACCCGCTCCTGCAACGGAACCACAGCGTGAGCCCGAAGAACCACAGCCCGTTGAACCGAATATTCGTACCTCGAATCATAGAAGACAAGCTTCAAATGATAACCGAACAAGTACCAATACCCAGAAATCAACTTGGGCCCAGCAGCACGGCAATGATATGTTTATACCTACAGTCAGTCAAGCATCACCATTACTACAACACAGCCATGCAGTTTCACAGAGTCCCGACCTCGCTCCAGCAGCCGCTCACATCAACATGGAAGACGCCGCTCTTTTGACACATGCTGCCACTCACAACCAGTCATACGCACCCAACTCGGGCCTGAGGATACATCGTCCGACACCGCCACAGTCGAAGTCTCCATTTCAGCCTGCGTATAACTCGCGCTCCGCGTCGCGGCAGAGCCATAAATCGTCTGGCAGGATGCCGCATTCGAGAACAAGTGCGTTCCCAGCACCACCACAAGCACCACCACAAGCACCACCACAAGCAACACCACCATCGGCAGCAGCAGCAGTAGCAGACACGCACTCGAATACCTGGTATAATAACGTGCAGGGTCGATCGTCAATGGGCGGACTGCCAACGGCACGATACGGGAGCAATGACGGGGTGGACTCTTCCAACAAAATTGGCTATAAGCCTTACTCATACCAGAAGAGCGCGTCGAGTGCAGTTACAAGCAACCACGGTTATCAGGCGCAGTCGTTTAATTCGCCAATGACGTCTTCAGGAATGCACGGGTCGTTGGCAGCATATGCTGGGCTGCAGCCCGGACAGGGAACCTCGGGCGATAGGCAGGACCATCAGCAGAGTCAGCATGGCCAACATGCACAGAATTGGCAGTATGGGAGTCAGGGCAATGGATTTGGACAAAGTCAGAGGCATGGGTATAATTGGGGGATGGGGGAAAGTTGGAACCAGGGGCACAATCAAAGGCGCTAGGTCGTTGCTTGGTTGGTTGCTTGGTTGATTCGTAAGTTCCCGTACATGATGGAAACGGAGGCTGGTGAAGGCTTCTGCATACTAGCAGGGATGGAGGTTTCGAATGTACTCTTAGCTTATACCCGTCATGATCCCTTCGGGGTGGGGGCGCGTCGTGGTTTTGGTACTCATAGTATATTGTATCCTTTTTTTTTTGACCTGGATTTATAAAGGCGCGGCGGTTATGCTGTTTCCTCGATTTCCTTTTTATGACAGGATATTCAAAGTGAGAGAATCTTGACATTTGGCCATACTCGAACGGAAGGGTGATGCCCCGGGATTGTTGGTTGTGTTTTGTGTACACAGGCACACATGGAAGGCTGACCAAGTTTGGTATCAAAGCAACCAATTCTATTTAGTGTCTACTATCTATTACTATTGGGGGGCGGGGATACATGTCGACCCGGCGCTCAACGCTCTCAACACCGCGCAATGCAAAGCAAGGCAATCCCACAGCCCTACTGCCCCGAAATGGCAAACTTAGTCAAGGCGCGCAGGCGCGCACCGTAAAAGTACAGCAGCCAAAAGCCGACAATGCCAATGACGCTCAGGCCGCCGAGCAGCGAGACACGCCTCGCGACGCCGAGGTTCCCGAAGAGCGGGTGGGCGGAGACGGGCCCGGCGGAGGAGGATGGCGGCCCCACTCGTCTCCGGGAGCGAGACGAGCATGCCGACGAGCACCGGCGACGACGCCCACACGGTCTCGTAGAGGGACCATCGCCAGCCCCGCGCCGGGCCAGGGTACGACGACATCATCCACGCCACCAGCGCGTAGCGGAGCGCCATCATCGAGTTCGTGTCGCCGAGGGACGCGCCGCCCGAGGCCAGGCACGGCGGCGACCCGAAGAAGCCCTGCAGGAAGCGGAGGACCATCAGGCCGGCAAAGCTGGGCGCGAAGGCCGTGGGGACGGATAGCGCCACGGAGAGGGACATGGTGGCCATGTAGACGGGGGTACCTGCCGATGCGGGGGAGTACCAGTCCACGAGGATGGCGCCGTCCTTTGTGCGCCGGGGGACGACGGGGATGGACTGCACCTTTTCGACGGGGTGCGTCAGCTCGTCCTCGAGGCGGGGGCTTGAAGTCTGCCTTTTCCTCGGGGTACTGGAGGTAGCGGTCGGGTGTGGCCTAGCGGATGAGCTGGCCGAGGGGGGGCGTCGCGGATGATGTCCGCCATTGTGATGACTCTGATGAGGCTTTGGCGTGTCGCGGTTTGCCCAAGTGAGAGGCGAGCGTACAAGTCCTTGTTGAGGCCAAGGTCAAGACACTGCAACAACAGCACTCCTGCTTGTTGGAACAAGATGAAGCAGAATCCACCACGACGTTGACCAAGCCTCTCCTCTTATACCCATCATGTCCAAGTATTTGATTCCTGGCAACAAGACCACCCAACAGGTTTGGTAAACCACATGCCCGGAGCGCTCCACGGCGGCAGATGCACGACCTTGTTGCTTCACAACACAACAACACGGTTTTTCTCCTTACCAATGCCGCTCCGGGCCTTTTCCAAACACGGCTTACCAGTTGCCCGTGCACAAGATCACAACCCTGCGGATCTAAGCTGTCGGACTTGGAGAAGAGGCGGGCAAGGGCTGTATGGGAGAGCGTCTGTCTGTGCGGATCGAGGCGCCCAATGGGCTGGGATTCAGACGAATATTTGGGCTGGGGATTACCAAGCGGTCGTGTGACGCAATCTGTCAAGGCACGGGATCTGAATACTATCAATCTGGACGGGCAGACCGAGCGTCTGATAGGGCTGCGGGGAAGCGGCGTTGATTTCTGCACTTCCAGAAGGCGTGACTATAATATGCACACAGATATCTTCCGGTCGCGACGTGAGAGTGGTACCAGAACGAGTCATCACAAGGCGTGCTTGACGGGCCTTGTGGGTTCGGAGGAATAAAGTTGGCGTTGAGCATTATTCCGACGTGCCTTGCCTTGGGACCCAGCTGATTATATCTCTACTATACAGGACATGGATTCTATCAACACTGGATTTCTGAACCCGCGAGTCTCAAGTGACGAATCCTAAACCGGTGAAACCCTTGGAGGAGCCCGGCAGTTACTCTACAATACATACATGGCTGTGAAACCAGGAAGCTTCATGCTACACTCCCCTGCCAACTTTGATCGTGCATTACATCTTCAACCCAGACGCCCTCTTCGTCATTCTCATATGTCTAAGCAGTCTCTCTACCAGAGCCCCCGTTTCTTCGTCCTTCCTCAACTCATCCACAACACCCCATATTCTCCCATCCTCCACCTCGGCCGCTTTTGCCACCAACACCTTTACCCAGTCCAGCCGTCTTGTCTTGGGGCCGCCCATGGCCACCATGGCCTGGTCAGCGAAGCGGAAGGCCAGGCCCAGCTCACCGGCCTCTGCACACTTTGTCACAAGAGCACCGTACACGTGCGAGTCCCGGACGGGGTCATCATCCTCCGCGATGTGGGTAGTGTAGTCCTTGGCGAGGACACGGGTGGTTTCCTCGTCGGGGCTGTTGATGATGAGCGTTTGCATCATGGTCGAGTTGGCGTGCTCGCCGCAGAGAGCAGGCACATCGCGGTAGAGGTCCATGGCCGCCTCGGAGCCCTGCGTCTCGGCAATGGCTTCGACTACAACGCTGACCACGGCGACGGGGAGTCGCTCATCGTGTGCCACGGCGCGGAGAGCCGTCTCTGCATCACTCATGAGCTTCGGATGTCGTCGAAGCGCTTCGGACACTGCTCTTGTGCTCCCCCGGGCGATCCGTATGCCGTTCTTCTTCATGATGCACAGGATTCGGAATGCACCCGTCATATCGCCAGATGCGGCAAACGCCTCTGCTACTGCTTCGTAGTGATACGCGAGAACCCTCGTTCGCCGTGACATCATTTCCAATGCCTCCGTGGCCAAAGATGCATCGCCATGTCGTGCCGCCGTTGCCAGGACATTTTCCACAATCCCATCCGCCGGCTGTAAGAGGGAGCTCCTGACCACACTATTCCATGCAAAGAGTGTGCCTGGGTAGTGAAACGCGGAACTGCACACATCTAGCGCGTAGTAGAGAATGCTCGAGATGGCCCTATCCTCGCCTTCTATGCTCTTTCGCCGGTGCAATAAGGACATCATTTCATCCACGAACCCCAGTTTCCCAAACACCATGACAAATATATCCAACACCCAGACGGCAATGCGTTCCCCTTGCTCAATCATTTCGGTGAGCCGTGAGTAGGCCAATTCGTACTGCTCGTCGCGTAACAGACCCAGAACAACGCTCTGCCTCGCGGGGGTGTCGATCGTGAACCAGAATTCCTGCATCGTGTCTAGTGTTTCCTGCCGCAACGCATAGTCTGGGTGGTTTGCCAGTGCCGCAAGTGCACTGTGGCACATGGCTGCCGTGGGCTTCATGTTCTGCGAGGCCATGTCATCGAGGAGCTTGCGGATTCCCTTGACGGATCCCTGGGGGTCGACCATGGCGTCCATCATGCACTCGTATATAAAGGGGCTTGGTGTCTGGTCCCGCGCGGACAGGAGGTGGCGGACGAGTCGTATTATTCGGTCGTGACGATCGATTTCTTGGCCGTGGAAGCTCCATCCTTGAGCATCTCGAATTGTCACAAGGGCGGCCACAATTTCTTCTACCGATGCCTGCCGCAGTGTTTCTTCGCTTGGTGGTGCTGGCGTCAACAGCCGTTCTTCTCTCGGAACCTCATTCCTGGTCTGTTGAGCAGCAGCATCTCGCATCACCATCTGGTTTTGTATATCCCCACTCGCAGTTGTGCCATATCTCGTCTGCACCAATCTCGTACACGCAATAGCTGGTGGTGCTCTCGCAGTCGTCATAACTCCTGGAGCCCTCAAGCTCACGGCGCGCCGCAAAGCTCGCCCATCCACGGCTGGGCACAGGCAACGCCACAACCCATCGTAGATCAATTGACTACCGCGCATTGCGATCCATGTCTCCGTCTTCCGTACACGGTTTCGCAATGATGCTGCAAAAAAAAAAAAAAAAAAAAAACCGTGCAGTGCTGTGAAAGATATCGATGCAAACAACCTTGGGTCCGAGCTTCCAAAGCAAAAAGGTTCAAGTTTCCACAAAGCGGGGCCATGCATCTCGCGGGGCGCCGCAAAACAAACATCAACTCTCATCGACAACCACCTGGAAGAGCTGCCCTTGACGAGGTACAAGGACCCCGACCCTCTTCTTTGCCGCACCAAAAGACGCATTCCCCTTCCCTGCGCACCTAAACGCACGCCACGGCGATTCCGTCGCTGCGCAAAATCCCATCATGGTTCGTCAATCGCCCTGCGCATCGCCGTCAAAGCCCAAACGTGAGCTGGGCCATACTAACTCTGCATCTGGATATAGTTGCCCCTCAGTCTTCTCAACGCCGCTCAAGGGCATCCCATGCTTGTGGAGCTCAAAAACGGCGAGACCCTCAACGGACATCTGGTCCAGTGTGATACATGGATGAACCTTACCCTACGAGAAGTTGTACAAACTAGTCCGGTGCGTCTAACCGTTCAGTCGGCTAGGGATGGCCAACAGCGAGAAGCTAATATTGCGCAGCGAGGCGACAAGTTCGTGCGGTTAAAAGAAGCTTACGTCAAAGGCAACAATGTACCGCCCTTCCCAGTCCTCCTTCGCCAACAGCAGGCGTTGGGACCTTGCACAGAATGCGGCTAACCTTCTCAGATCAAATACCTCCGCGTCGACGACGATATCATCAACCAAGTGAGCGAATCCCAAAAGGGCCAGCAAGGGAGCTTCAGAGGCGGACGCGGTGGCCACGGCCAACCAAGAGGCGACCACGGCCACGGTGGTCGTGGAGGTGGCGATAGAGGCAGGGGCGGACGGGGCGGCGGTCGTGGTGGAAGGGGAAGAGGCCGAGGCCAATAAAATAGAGAGGCAATAGGAATTTGGATCGCAGAGATGAAGACAAATGTTTAATACCCAGTTTTGGGTCTGGCCGGGTCACTCTTGGCGGGAGACCCAGAGTCAGTGAAGTGTGTGCTTCCATGCCCGAGTCATGATGGTTTGGTGCCAAAGGGACAGAAAAGCTTGGTTGAATAATGAATAGTTCGGTCGACAGCTGTTAATGTCTTACGGTTCTGCAAGGCAGCCTACAGGAATTCGGCTGATATGCGAGCAAAGTTCCCATGTGTTGGGAGTCTGTATATGACTAGTAAAAGTTTAAAACGCAAGAAAAGAAAAAAAGATGAAAAGACACAATCAAGACTATAAGTGATGCCATGCTACATTATACCTGCGTTGCTGTCTACTCTAAGATTCAGAATAAAACAAAAGTATAGGCTCTAGCATTCCTTCGTTCCTTGTTTGCTGTGCATTCTCTGCCCAGCCTCTGCATGCATATAAAGAACCTACTTGAATCAAACAAGAACATTTATAGTCAACGCACTATCAATATGCGCAATTATACCACCCCAGCATACAAAAGTGACTTCTTCGCCATGCTCAATGCCGCTTTCAAAAGTTGGCAACTGCAACAGCAATGGCCTGATTGTCGGAGTGCGAGATGGACAGCGCAATATCCTTCACACCGACCTTTTTGGCAGCGGAAGCAGCCTCACCGTGCAGCTATAATCATGTTAGTCAATCTCAGTAACTGGGCAGTGTCTTTTGTTGAAGTCACGTACTTTGACGGTGGGCGCACCATTGTCATCCTTGACAATCTCAATCTCCTTCATGGCAGCGCCTGCACCCTTGCTGGCGACACCGAGGGACTTGAAAACGGCCTCCTTGGCACTCCAGCGACCTGCAAAAGAGCTCTGGGGGCTGGGAGCAGCTTTACAGTAGCTGATCTCCTCAGCAGTGAAGTTGCGCTCCAAGAAGGCCTCATTCTCAATATTGATGGCAGAGATGTCTTCAACATCAACACCAACATTGCTGTTCTTGTTGGCAACCTTTTGAGCCAGAGTCTTCATGACCTTTTCGGTTTCGGCAGCACGAGCAGAGGTCATGACCTTCTCGGACTGCTTCATGAAGTTCTCAGAGTATCTGAGCTCAGAAGACTTTTTGTCTTCGCTCACACGGGCGTCTGGATTGAGCAATACTTTACTAAGCTGTTCATCAGTGTAAGGAGCCTTGGATTTGGCCACGAATAGGCTGTTGTTGATGAGACCGTTGTGGAAATAGCGGTAGGCCTTCTTCTGACGGGCCTCCACCTTGGCGCAGTACTGCTGGTAGGTCTTCTCGTCGAGGGTTGCAAATAGGTACTTGGGATGAATACCAATAGCCTGAGCACCCTTCTGACCGAAACCAAAAGAGGTAACAGAGAAAGCCTTGATACCGTCCGTCTGGATTGAACGGCTGGGATAAACAATCAGGTCAAACTCTTCCATGACGGGATCGACGTTGTCGGCGTTGCGGTTGCCAGGAACTAAACCGGTGTTGAGAACTTGCAGACAGCCATTCATCATCCAGGCACCGGCAGCACCCTTGGGATGACCAGTGAGGTACTTCTGGAAGATACCCATGACGGCGTTGCCCTTCGATCGTCCGAGATGGCGCAGCTGCTGGCAAATAACAGATGACTCGTTCTTGTCGTTGGCTTTGGTCGAGGTGCCGTGGAAGGAGGCAACGTCCAGGTCGTCAATGGTAAGACCCCAGGTAGCAAGAGCGCCACGGAGAGGAGCAATGCTGGGGTCGCTCTTCCAGAAATTGTTACCCATGCTACGGAGCAGCTCCTTTTCTTGTCGAATAGCCTCCTTCTCAATGTGAGCAAAGCGTTCCTGAGCATAAAGCTTTTCGTCAAAAGAGGCATCCTGGGCCTTCATGGCATCAATTTCGTCATGGATGTATTCAAGCTCAGACTCATGCCACTGCTTAATCTGCTTCTTGCGGCGCTCAATCTGGCGGCGGCGGTAGTTAATGTCGAGCAGTGGTGAGGGAAATTTGCCAGCATGCTCGCGAGCAGTGGTAAGTACACCTTGGCCAGGAGCAGGCACAGAGCGGCCAATCTTGTCAGAAGCGGTAGTGGTGAGAGCCAGGACACCGTAGATAGGAACACCCATGTCCAGAGCGAGCTGGGCAGTCATGATGACCTGAATACCGCAACCTTGGGACTCCATGAAGCCGTTACGGGTAGTCGTGGTGGGACGAGACATTTCCTTGGGAGTACGGCCGTGATTGAACTCGTCTACAGTGTTGCTGGTGGCCTTCATGTTGGCGAATTCGTAGGAACCTTCTTCGCCAAAGTCATCGAAACCACCAACAAAGCACACGCGAGCTTTGCCCTCCATAATGGTTTCATAACCAACATCAACGGATTCGACAGCGGTTGCGCAGGCACCGACAGGAGTCTTGATGGGACCAGAGGAAGAGATGAGCAACATGTTCACCCAGGCAGCCATTGTGTTGATGAAAGACTCTTGAAGAATGTCGTTCTGAAGAGGCTTGTCCAGGAAGCGATCTTTGTGCATGCCTCGCAGAGCAGCTGAGCCACCCATACCAGAACCAACACAGTTACCAACCTCGGAAACGTGGACATACTTGTAGAATTCATAGGGGTCAGTGATACCGGCCGATAATAGAGCCTCAGCAGTAGACACAAGAAGGAAAAGGGTGACAGGGTCGACTTGGGAAATAATATCTTCGGGAATTCCATATCGCTTGGGGTCCCAACCAGTGGGGATTTGACCGGCAACGAGACGGTCAAAGCGGAGAGCCTTGGGGATCCAGAGAGAAGCCCCCTTTCTCATGCGAACAGTATACTCGCCACTGGCAGGAATCTCAAAGATTTCAACCTTGTCGCCGTGCTCACGCTTGAACTCCTCGGCAGTCTCCTTGGAGGCTTCGAAAGGTTCCAGGTCTTCCTCAATGACAACCTCATGAAGCAGCTGCTTCTGGTTGGGATCGTAGCCTTCAAAGAGCTCAGGCTCGATCAAACGGATGCCAGAGTGCTCCAAAATGTGCTTTTCGTACTTCTGCTTGATGTCCTTGTCGTCAACAGGCTCGCCAGATTTGGCATCGACCCAGCCCGAGTAGGGTTTGCCCTTGATGGCACCATTGTGGTTGCGAATGAGACCCATGATCCAAGCCATTTCAACGCAGCCCTCGAGGGAGAACTCTCCGTATGCTTCCATTTCCCATCGGGTACGAGAATTACCCCAAGGGCCGACTTCCGCAAAACCGGTAACAACTACCACCTTGTCCAGGTCGACCATGCCCCTGAGCTTATCATTAAGGGGAGAAACATCGTTCTTCCAGTCAGGCAGGGGGGGAAAGTCGAACTTGATATTGGCGCGTGGTGCAATCGTCTTCTTTTTATATAGAACCTCGGAGTCGGCACCATTGACGATGGAGTTCTCGATGGCGCTTTCCTTTGAGACAGCCCTCCGGATTTCACTAGTTTCCATAATGTCCTTGCGTAGCTTGGTCATAGCCTCGTTGAGGTTGGGGATAAACTGCAAGCCGCCATTGAGATCAGCGAAGACTGGCTCTGCCTGGCAGAGGTCGACAATGGTGGGCGACATCAGACCAAGCAGGTTGAAGGCCATTTCTTGCTGGGAGAAAGTGCGGACACCGAAAGCCTCAACACCCTCGGCAACAATGTTGTTGCCAGACATGAGCCCAGTTCCACGAGTCCAACCAATGACGGCACCACAAACGGTAAGGTAGTTGGCCCAGTTCTCAGAGTACCAACGGTTAAAGAGGGTCTCGAGAGCAAGTTTGGACTCGGAATAGAGACCGTCGTTACCAAAGGTACCGTGGTTGGGGGAGAGAGGAAGGACAACCTGAGCAGGACGAGTCTCAAAGCCGCGCTCAGCTTTTTGAGTCTTGACGCAACCCAAAAGGCGGATGAGATTGGTGAGCATGATTCTGTGAGCTAGTTCAGAGCGAGAATCAATGCCATCAATCTGGCGTCCTGCCTCGGAAATGGCGGCAAAAGGAACAATGTAGTCAAGGTCCCATCCGAGACCATTCTTCGAATCATAAATATACTCGACAAGGGCCTCCACATCCTGCTTGCTACCCTGGTTAAATGGGACTACAACGATCTGAGAGCCACGAGATCCATATCGGGAGTACATAGACTGGTAGTACTCGGTGACTTCACGAGAGAATCGGCTGGTGGTCACTACAACCTTGGCACCACCGCTGATGAGGCCTTGCAGGACTTCAGCACCAATTGATCCAGCACCAGCACCAGTCATGAGGACGTGCTTGCCTTGGTAAGTTACACCAGCCTTGGCGCTATCCTCAAGACAATTAAGATAGAGAGCGGTGAGCTTCTTGCTGTAGTCCCAGCCGTGGAGAGTCTTGCGCTTGAGGTGAAGGAAGGGAATGGTCTCAACCTTGCCCTTGTTCTGGCTAGTGCCACGGAGGCCACCCTTCTTGCCCTTGTTGGTCTCCTTGGATAAGATCTGACTCTCATTCATGGCGAGAGAGCGCAGAACGTCGCCATACAAGCTCTTGATCTCAAGCTGAGATGTCTTCGACATCTTGTGCTGCTGCTTGATGAGCTTGTAGATGCGCTGGAGGTCGTTCTGAACCTTGGTACGGTTGCCATGCTCAGAGATCTTGCCGCCCTCAGCCATTTGCTGAACATAGTGCTCGAGCTTGCGGCAACTGGCGCGGGGAACTTCCTCGTATTTGAGGTCGCCACGAGCGTCCACCGTAGTACGGGGCCCAGTTGGAACGGCAACATCTTTGTACACCGGAGA